ATCCATCAACATTTTAATAAATAATTTGTCTTCTTTTAAAATAAATAATAATAATAATAATAATAATAATAATAATAATAATAATTTAGGGATTAAATAAATATCTTTCAAAATTAAAATAAATTTACATAATTAATTAAGGTAATCATATTTTAAACAGACGTTGTAGGGTGCAATACCTTCCTTACACGTAAATGACTCCTAAATTCATTTTTAGTTTCAAAAATTATATTATTTTAAAAAAAATTTAAGGTTTTCTTAAAATAAATTTTAGTGGCAACTCCTCTAATGTATCTGAAAATCTTTTTGTCGTACCATTGTGACATATATATATATTTATTGTAAAGAATGAAATATGCTGACTAATACTTTAAAGGCATTGATTAAGAAAATAAAAATAAAAATATTTTGTTAAAAAATGTAAATCTCATACACTTCTATATATTTCAATTTTTTAAAATTGTTATTTATTTATTAATTTACTATGTTAGCAACATCCATGAATAATTTATTAGAATGAATACGAACGTTATTTTGCCCTTAATATATCAGTTGTCCACGTATGAAACACAAACATGTTTTTCTAACACATGCATATAAGGAAGAGAGGTGGGGCAAGGAAAGTGAAAATATAGTGCGTGTTTATATAAATTAATTTTAATTTTTTTATATAATTTTAATTTCTTTTTACTCACTAAATAAATGGAAACTTATTTTCTTTTTTTATTTTATTTCAACACCTTCAACCATCAAATTAGTTTTCTTTATTTTTAATTTATTTCTTGATTTTCTATTTTTTTTCTATTTCTTTTCACTCTATTTCAACACATTTAAATAAGAGGTGAAATAAAGAAAAAAATAGATGGAAAAAAGGGATAAAAATAGAATAAAAAATATTAAATGTTTCAATGAATTGATACATGAGAAAAGAATTAATATCAGACAAATATTAAATACAATGCAAAAATAAAAGTATTTACTTTAGATTTTTATATTTTTTAATAAATAATTTTAAAAATAAATTATTAAAATAATTTTTTTATTTAAAGTTCTTTTGCTATCACAAGTTTTGTTCATACAAAAAAATAAAATTTAATTTTTCTTTTAATCAAGTTTTTTTTTTTGGTTAAAGAGACAAACCTAAAAAATTAAAACACCTAAAATAATATTATTAAATTTTATATATTAATGGAAGAAGACTTAATTTTTTTTATATTTTTTAAAGAGTTTTGTCTAAAGAGTACATAAAACTTAATTTTTATTATTTTAGTATCATGTGAAATGAATATGACACTAACACACACTTCACTGTTGACTATACCATCGTGCTTGAGAACATTTATTATTTGAACGTTGGTAGGAACGACATCTCCCCTGGCATGTTTAGGTCATGAAGGGGTGATACACTCTATATCTTACTCCATGTGAAGCGGTAGAGCTTGTCGACAAGTAAGGGTAGAAACAGGTAATGTCAATCTTTACTTTAAACAAGTCTAGTCTGTAACATAATTATTAAGTTTGAGTATGACCTATTACCTTTCAAAGACTTTATTTTCAAGAATGCCTAGCCTATTTAAGTGGTCTAACTTGTCTTGAAGTCTGTTAACAAAGTCTGTTAAAAAAATATTTTAATATTAATAAAAATATAAATATTTTATTATCAAATTAGTTTACATATTTTTTAATTTTCATCTATATTATTAATAATTATTAAAATATTATTTAAGCATCAATTATAAATATTTTATATTAATGAAATTTATATTTATATTTTTCTTGATTTATTTTTTAAAAATTATTTAAATATTAAAGATTTTAGTTTTATTTTAGAAACAAATTTTGTTTGTTTAAAAACATCTTATATTTAACAAATAAAGTTACAATGAACAGATAAAATTGATCACAAAATAACATTCACACAATTTGTTGAATCAAATAAAAAAATTATTATGTTTTAAAAAATAAATAAATTTAAACTTAATGCAATATATATATATATATATATATATATATAATGACAATAATAATAACTATTAAATTGAAAAAATAATTATAAAAATATTTAATTTTATTTATTTCATTAATTTGTTATTTTAAATTAACAAATAAACATAAAATTAACTACACTATAACACTAATGTAATATAGAAAATATTACTGATACAATAAATTAAAACACATATTATATACTATATAAAAATTGATAAATTAACTAATAATTTAATTAAAACATGTGAAAGTTACAAAAATATATATTATTATATAATTTATTTATAATTATATTATTTGTTACATGGTCTGATTATATATATATATATATATATATATATATATATATATTATAATAAGTTTTTTATTTTATTTTCTTATCATTTTTTATAAACTTTTACTTTCAAATAAAATATAATTTATATTTAAGCTATTTCTATTTATTATAAATAAAAATAATTATAACATAATATATTAATATAATAATTAAATATTAATAATAATAAAATTAAAATATAAAAAATATATTAATAGAATATTAATATTTATTTTTAAATTTTAATTCATTTAGTTTTAACTGTGTCTTATTTATTTCTGTTAAAAAGACTTAGACGTTATTCAACTTATTTAAATGAAATCAATGTAATAATTTATGATTAAATAAATTTATTTTTTAAACATGTATAAGCGTGTATAAATATTTTTAGTTTCAAATATAATATAAAATAATTATTTAAAATTTGACATATTTATATTTAGGTGTGTGATTGTGTATTGTGAACCTGATATCTAAATATTTTTTATAGGTACTTTAGTAAAAAAAATTTATACCAATAAAAGTAAAATACGGAATAAGTTATAAAAAATATATATTATTATACATAATTTATTTAAGATTATATTATTTACTATATAGTCCTATTATATATATATATATTGATTTTTTATATTATTTGTCTATCATTTTTTTATTAAATTTTATTTTTGAATAAAATATAATTCATATTTAAATAATTTCTATTTATTATAAAGAAAAAGAATTAAACATAATATATTAATATAATAATTAAATTAATAGTAATAAAATTAAGAGTATAAAAAATATAGTAATATAACTTTATTATTTTATTTTTAAATTTTATTTCATTTAGTTTTAATTGTGTCTTATTCCTTTTTAAAAACTTAACTTATTCTTTAACCTGTTTAAATATAACAAATATGATAATTTATTATTAAATAAATTTATTATTTAAAAAGTGTAATCGTGTATAAATATTTTTAATTTTTAATAAAATATAATTTCTGTTTATTATAATTATAAATAAAATAATTATAACATAATATATTAATTTAATAATAACAAAATTAAAAATATAAAAAATATATTATTAAATAACTTTATTATTTAAATATATTTTGACAGCTCTATTTTTAAATTATATAATCAATATATATATATATATATATATATATATATATATATATATATAGGCCGGCTTGTTAGACTTAACAGACTTTATAAACAACTCAGACCTGATTTGTTTACTTAAATAGAATTTAAAAAAAAATTAATCTTTATTTGTTTACTAAAAAAGTTAGGCCAAACTTAAACCAGGTCAGACCATAAATTCTTATCAGACGGCCTGACCTGTTTCCATTCCTATCAACAAGAATTTTTTATGTTTTACTTTAGTGTAAGTTGACATAAATTAATTTTTATAAAATTTTAATTTAATTAAGTATTAATTAGATGTTAAAATATTAAATTATGTTATTTAGTTCATATTATAATTACTAATTATTATTAGACTTATTTATAATAGTTTTATAATTATTAATAAATATAATTTTATAATAATTATTATTGAGCTGACTCAAAAGGTTTCAATTCATCGACATTTGTCTAGTATAATAAAAAGTAAGTTTCATATATTCTCTAAGGACACTCTATAAAAATATATTAAAAAATAAATTATGTTTGTGTAATATGTGAAATTTAACATAATTATGCCACGTATTTAAATAAAAAATAAAAAATTTTATTTTTTGTACGAACGAAATTCGTAACGACATATCAAAAAGAATCAGGACAGAAAAATTGTTTTAAAAAAAAAATTATTTTAATAATTTTTTTTTATAAAAAAATACAAAAGCCATCTATTTTACATCATGAGACGAGAAATTGACATCAAATAATGCAACGGTGGACCACTGAATTTTGTATGCTACGCAACCACTACACAAAGAAAACGACAAAAATAGCCAACGATGTTGTTTCAACTCTACACGAGAACTTATCCTCCACACAAAGCAAACAAAGGAAGTGGGTGAAATTATGCAAGCATGAAAACTAACTAATTAATTATATAAGTAAAGCAAGGAATATTAAATTTTTTTATAAAAATAGACTTGTATAGTTTGGATAAGCTTTTAAAAAAATATATAAAAAATTATATAATAAAAAATAACTTATTTTATATATTTTTTAATTTTTTTCATTTAAATTTTCTAAAATTTAAGAAAATAAATTATTCATAATTCATGAGAAAAAAATGTATTATTATTTATACTGATTTTTTTCTTATTTTTCTAAAAATTTACTCAAATTAAGTCATAATCAAGTATAACACTAAAATATTTTTTAGAAATGATATTTGTACAAAAAAAAGTACAAATTTTATTACAATTTAGAAAATTAAGAAGGAAAAAATGAAAATTAAGATAAATAATATGTTTACAAAAAAAATATATAATGAATGCATGTTTTATAAGAGAAATGACTACGAATTAAATACAATTTTTTTCATAAATTAAAGATAATTTAACCTCAAATTTTAGAAAAAGAAAATGAGAGATTTTAAACAAAAAATAGAAAATCATAAATTAAAAAAAGAGTTATTATTTTCATACTAACCTTTTTATGTTAAAATGGCTTCTTTATCTAAAATGATTTTGTTTTTCTTTGTAAATACATGTAGAATAAAAGCAAGAATTAAAAAGCAACAAAAATCCCAACTCTTGTATTCGAATTCCCTCCACCTTCAATAATCTTTATCTTATCAAACTAGGAACACTTTAGTCCAGACTACACAGGTTTGTTTTATCTCCATGGATTTCCATATCCTTGATTTACTAGCTTTAATCTCCTTTTTCCTCTTCATGCTTATGGCACTGAGAATAGTGAGGAATCTGAAGACAACAACATACTTTACGCCAAATATACCCCCTGGGCCATGGAAGCTACCTATTATAGGAAACCTACCCCATCTTGTTACATCTACACCACACCGAAAATTAAGAGACTTGGCCAAAATATATGGACCCTTGATGCATCTACAACTTGGGGAGGTCTTCACCATAGTTGTTTCCTCACCAGAATATGCTAAAGAGGTAATGAAAACCCATGATCTTGTGTTTGCATCAAGGCCTAAAATTCTAGCAGCAAAAATAATTGCTTATGATTGCACAAATATATCTTTTGCACCTTATGGACACTATTGGAGACAGCTACGAAAAATTTGCACTTTAGAGCTTTTCACCCCAAAACGTCTCAATTCGTTCAAGCCAATAAGAGAAGAAGAGCTCACCAATCTCATCAAAAGGATAGCATCAGAGAAAGGACCACCCTTCAATCTCACTCAGGCACTGCTCTCATCAACATATGCAATCATTTCAAGGGCTGCGTTTGGCAAGAAGTGCAAAGAGCAAGAAGAGTTCTTATCTGTGGTGAAAGAAGTATTAAAGGTTGCTGGAGGTTTCGAAATAGGAGATTTATTTCCTTCTGCTACATGGCTTCAACTTGTCACTGGTTTGAGACCTAAGCTTGAGAGGCTTCATCATAAAATGGATCAGATATTGGAAAACATCATTAATGAACATAAGGAGGCAAAATCAAAATCCAAACATGCCCAAGGTAAAGGAGAGGAAGATCTAGTAGATATTCTCCTAAAATTTGAAGATGACTGTGATGGCAATCAAGATATTTGCTTAACTAATAACAACATCAAGGCTATAATTGAGGTATGGATAATTAGACCTTGTAAATACTTGTATGAATACAAACTAAGAAACACGGACTTAAAGAACAGTAGCCTATCGGATACAACACATTTTAAACAACTTTTTTTAAACATATATTTTGCATTTTTTAAAAAGTTTTATATCAATACAGGTAAGAATACTATTATAATTATAAAAATGATATCATTTTATCGTGTTTAAAATGAGATGCTAACATGAAATTTTTCTCTTATTTTAAAATTTGTATTCTATATTTTCAACCTATATGCTAAAAATAAGATTTTACTCTTAAAAAAATAAAGTAGTAATCTGAATTATTCTCTTTCATAATTTGTCACGTATACATTTTAATATTAAAATAACTGATGTGTAAATTATACTCTTTTTTATTGCAATTATTTTAATTTTATTAACATTTTTGTTAATTCTATTTTAAATTTTGGATATTCAAATTATTACTTAACTTTTCCTTGTTATTTTATATAATTTTTTATATTTTTATTAACTTGTTTTTACACTTATAAAATTATCTTAATTTTTTTATATTTTCAAATTTAAAGTTTACTTTTAAGTGTTTTATCTCTTAAATATATGATTATTAATATATTTTAATTATTGATATTATATGATGAAAGTATTATTTTAAAATAAATGTATATTATATATAACTACTTATAAAATATAAAATTTATTATTTAATTATTAAATTATATATATATATATAAATAAAATATCAGTTTTTTACTAATTTTATGTATTATATTATAGCTGTACCGTGTCCTATAATTTTTTAAATTTATCATACTCACATATCCGTATCGTATCTTACTCCTGTCCCATGTCGTGTACATGCTTGGTACAACCCAAACTTGTCACTTGCTGTAGACCTTTTAGATATGTTTAATGCTCAAATATGACAATTACTCACATCAATGATAATTTGTTTTCCAGAATATCTTTGCTGCTGGAGGTGAGACATCAGCAACTACCATAGATTGGACAATGGCAGAGTTGGTGAGAGATCCAAGGGTGATGAAGAGAGCACAAGATGAAGTGAGAGAGGTATTCAATAAGAATGGAAGGGTTGATGAAACTTGCATCAATGAAATGAAATATTTGAAATTAGTTGTTAAAGAGACTTTGAGGTTACATCCTCCAGCTCCTCTTTTACTTCCAAGGGAATGTGGACAAGCATGTGAGATTCATGGGTATGACATACCAATCAAAAGTAAGATAATTATCAATGCTTGGGCAATTGGAAGAGATCCAAAATATTGGACTGAACCAGAGAGGTTTTATCCAGAGAGATTCATTCATAGCTCTATAGACTACAAAGGAAGTAGTTTTGAGTACATTCCATTTGGTGCTGGAAGAAGAGTATGTCCAGGTAGCACATTTGGTTTGCTAAATGTTGAGCTGGCACTTGCATTGTTGTTGCACCATTTTGATTGGAAGCTTCCCAATGGAATGAAAAATGAGGACTTGGACATGACTGAGCAATTTGGGTTGACTGTTAGAAGAAAAGATGACCTGTATTTGATTCCTGCAGCTTCTTCTCGTGTGCTTGCAATATAATGCTCTCAACTCAAGCCATAGAACCTTGGAATTTGGCGTTTCCCATTTTCTCTTTAAATAAGGCTTTTGAAGTTGGACAAAACTTGGCTATTGTTATTTGGCCACGGCCAGTACTCTTTACTAATTAAAATTATAATTTTATTAATAAAATATGTATATTTAATGTTATTGCATATTCATAATGTAAATTTTAACTTAATTAACTTTGTATTTTTAGTCATATAATTTAGATTTTGAGTTTTAAAATTGTACAATCAAGTTCTATACTTGTCAGATTATAGGAAAAAACTTTTCTATCATTTAGATATCTAATTTAGCCATTAACTTTCCATGTGTTTTTTAGAAGTAGGTTAAGTTACAAGATTTTAAAAACTCAAAGTACAAATTGCACACAAAGTAAAATTTATTTTTTTCTTTTTTATAAATTAAAGTAAGAATTTCTTCGTACAGTTTAATAAGTTTAAGACGTGACGTTACATAATTTTAAAATTTAAAATTTAAATTACATATAACTAAAAGGTAAGTGCTTAAAATAAATTTTTTCTTTTAATTAATATACAATGCTTAAAAAATTATGTTTCAATTTTAATTTATGTTGATTCAAATAAAGTTTAATACTTTTTAAAGCATCCAATCTTAGTGATGATTGAATTGATAATTTTGTTATCCTTAACACATCATTTTATTGCTATCGTGCTCTTATTATTGTTATTACTAAAATAAGAGCCCAAACATGTGAAGTTAATTTAGATCCTACAAATATAACATTTATTACTCAAACTATCTAAACTATCCTTGAAGTCTTTATTCTTTTGATATAATATTAGACCACTAAGACATTCAATTTGTCGAATGAAAACTAGTTACCCACTCCAATTTTTATTTGTGTATTTCATTAAAACAACAGTATTAAAATAAATAGAAAAAAATGAAGAAAAATTAAATGATTTTAGAATCTTCACTTTGACACCAAATCATGGCGAATAAACGAGAACTGGGATCTATTGATGCAAAGCTGAATGACAGAGACACTAGGTAAAAGAATATTCTAAAGCAAGCAAGAAAAGAGAGGATTCAACCTTCTATTGATGCAACATTAATTTTTTCAAACAAGAAAATTTTAAATTTTAAAATTTAATTTTATTTGTATAAAAATAGAACTGGATTCAAATAATATTCACAATCACTTTGAAATAGCTCTTTTTCTTATATTCAAGATAATAAATTTATTCTTTTTTGAAAAATTTATCATGCAATTCACACTGAAAGAGAATGTAACGCCTTGTTGTGCACTATAATATACTAAAACTTTCTTTAAAAACTAAATTTTATCAACAAAATTAGAATAATAAATGATGAAATTTCAAATCAAAATAAAGATATTGAAATTATCACCCTTTCATGTATAAATAAATTATTTCATTTGGGCCAATATAATTTTTGTCAATAAATCTTCTTAGCTTCCATTCGATCTCTCTATCATAATTTTTTTTTCATTGGTCTTCTTAGCTCCTTACATAAGCATGAACAGATATAGGTATTGATGAAACTTTATTTTAAGGCTGAATTAAAAAAAATTAAAACTTTAACATAGTAAACTAAAATGCAAGAAGAAGGTAAATCATATCGTCCAATAAAAAAGGGAAAAAAGTAAATAAAATTTACTATATATATATATATTAACTATTAAATTATGGAATTTTATATAAAATTTCTAAAAATATATATAATCATTAAAATAATTTTATAAAATAATATCTTCAGTTCTTTTTATAAGAAATTATTATTATTATTATTATTATTATTATTATTACTATTTTCATAAATATAAAAAATAAAGACTTATTTTCAATGTATTAATTACTAAATTTGTTACATGGACAACACACACATTACCCTTTTGCCAATACATACTGTATACCACAAGTTCGAATTGTTATCTTATTAAATTTTCAGAGATATTGTCACTAAATTAATCTTTACGTTAAACTAAAATAGTGATGAAAACAAATTTTAAGGGTTTAATTTGATGATAAATTAAATTTATAAAAGCTTTATTTGATAACAACCCTAAACCCTAAATTATTTAGTAACAAACTAAATATTTCAATTCTATGATAAAATATTTAATTAACTAGTGAAATAATTATTTAAATTTATAACGATTAATTTGATAGTAAAACAAAACTTTTAATTGTAGATGACTGAGCAAGAGACATGGCCCATGCTTGCCCCTCTCGATTGTCTGTTTTTTCTGATGACATGTGGTATTTGGGCCCTAGGTTCTTGGGCTCCCTTTCATGTAATTGGGTTTTCTTTCATTATTAATAGAATTTTTGAAATTGATAAAAAAATAATTTTGTTACAATATTTGTACATCAAAAAGTATTTTATATTCTTTTTAAATTAATCGTTGCAATTTTTTTATATCTTAAAAATTTAAAAATATTAATATTTTTTTAATTAAACTACTAATTTTATTACAATATTAACAATTATTCAATGTGTAAGAAATGTACTGAATTTTCTCAAATACAAGGATACAATAATTTTTTTTTTAAAAAATTGCAAAGATAATTGAAATTACTGACAAACCTATAAAATAATTTGTTTTAAAAAACTAAAAACAAGTGATTTTAAAAACTACGGTAAAAATTGCAAAAAAAGAAAAGAAAAAGAAAAAGAAAAGAAGGAAAAGCGTGAATAGAAAAATTTAAAATGCGAAGCTTCACATTGACAGACAAGCAAGAAAGTGGGATATTTCCTTTTGTCTTGGGTCATATACAATCTCCTATATATTTAAATAAATTATGGTCTTCTAGATAAAATAAAAAAACACGTTTAGTCTAACAGTGGTCAAAGAGAAAAGTTCCCATTTACCGTTAACTTGTCAACTCAAGTATTTGCCATTCCTCAATAGGATGAATTTTTCGAAATATTCTATGATAGACGACATTTTTAAATTAAAAAACAGACCATAAATAATATACGTAACTTATGTCAAAATTCAAAAGCATTTGAGCTGAGAAGAATAAAAGTTATAACAGCTTGTTTAAAATAAAATAGGAGTTAATTTGGGAAAGGGAATTATAATAACTAAATCTTTAATTGTCTCTAGATGCATTGACCATGCTACACAAAGAAATTCTCCATTCCCTAGTTTTAAAACAAATGAGAAGATTAATTTATGAGTCAAAAATAAAAACCACATTTACCATTCACAAGTCAACTCAACTCAACACACGTGCCCCAAGATTGTGACTCACTTTGATTAATGAAGCTGTAAATTAACTACTAAGTATCTAGAATATAAAGTATATTTGTGTTTCCACGATAAAATATCTCCATCATGGATTGAAGACATTGGGTTAATTATATCAATTAATAATTATTTTTCTAATTATTATTTTATGCAATTTTAACCTGTCTAATATTGATTTTATTAAATACTATATTTTTAATAAAAGTTATTTTTATCAATTAATCTTATATCCTCTCTTATTGGTAATTTTCAAGATTAGCATTAATCAAATTATATTATATTTTGTTATAACTAGTTTTTATTGAAAAAGTAATTATCAATCATCCAATGTGTTGGTCTGGCGTGACACCGAAGCACAATAAATTTGGAGGTCAAATAAAATTGGGCACCAAAATTTGTGGGCACTGATTATTCCTAAGGTAAGGAATCTCAATCGAAGCATAATGACTTTTTGAGACCGAAAATCCAAAACGCCAACGATCATAATAATTTATACATGTAAAAAGTGAATATGATTTATTTTCTCCTACCCTTTTTTTTTCCACCTTAGAAGATGACAAAAGCATAAGCGAAAAGGGCATAAAAAGCTTAGAATTTACCATAAAGATAAGAATTAAAAAACTCTAAGAAAAAGTGTGGCGTCAACAAAGGGATGGTAAGGGTGAGCGAGAAATGAGGGAATATTCGAATAACAATAAGGTAAAGGGACCCGAATCCGGTGGGCTTGGTAGGTCAGTTATTGTTGGATACGTTTAAATGGGTCATTTGTTTTGAAGAAGCAAAGAAAAAAGAGAAGTTTGGTAGGTGCAACTTAAAAATAAAAAGGGTACCCTACCCAACAACAACACTAAACGTTCAACAACAACAACAACAGTTACACTCTCACAGTTGCTCTCATCAACAACGTTTGTAAACGTTGTATTCTGTTTCGTCAGTGCAGGCGTTTGTTTTTTTCTCTGTTGTTTCAAGCAAAGCATCCAAAGAGGGTGTATCCATGGATTCTGACTATGGTATTCCGAGAGAACTCTCAGATCTTCAGAAGAATCGATCTTTGTACCAGCCAGAGCTCCCTCCTTGCCTCCAGGTACTTGTGTGTGACCAGATCTTGTGTTTTTCAGTGTTTGATGGAGCAGTAGGGGCTACCAGGTTTTGATTTTCTTGGATTTGGGTGATGAACTTGGGTGGAATGGGATTGACCCTTTTTGTTTTTCTTGTGCAGGGAACCACTGTTAGGGTTGAATTTGGTGATGCAACCACCACTGCTGATCCCACTGATGCCCTCTCCATAAGCAGGGCTTTTCCTCAAACGTATGGACACCCTTTGGCTCACTTTCTCAGGGCCACTGCTAAAGTCCCTGATGCTCAGATTATAACTGAGCACCCTCCTATTAGGTAAGTATATTGTTAGCATGGTGATGTTTCCTAGGCATTGTTGTGAATCTCTTTATGGTACTTGTCTGTTTTGAATCTCACAACTTCTGTTGTTGTTGTTGTTGCAGGGTGGGAGTTGTCTTCTGTGGGAGACAATCTCCTGGTGGACACAATGTTATTTGGGGTCTCTACAATGCCCTCAAAATTCACAATCCTAACAATGTTTTGCTTGGATTTCTTGGTAATTTGCATGATCGGGTCATATATATTGATAGTTTGATATGCTTGTTTATCATATTGTATAAGTATTTGCTTTCACCCTAAAATTGAGATATTTGTTATTGTCAGAGTTAGTAACTACGTCTGCATATGCTTGTTACTTTCTCCAGGTGGTTCAGAAGGTCTATTTGCCCAGAAAACTCTGGAGATAACTGACGATGTTCTTTCCTCATACAAGAATCAAGGTTTGTTGTGCAGTTGAAGGTTTTGACATTAATCAGTCAATTATCTTATTAGCTCCTTGTTATAATACCTTGGGTGTTCTATCTTAGGTGGTTATGATTTGCTTGGGCGGACGAAAGATCAAATCAGGACTACAGAGCAGGTT